CCCTGGAATTATGGACATGTGAATATGTCTTACACTGGGTTGTGCCATCTGGCTCAGTAGTATGACTGTCATGGGATCTGCAAGGTTTGAGGCAGAGGTCTTTCCCAGTCCTGGTACCTTGGATTTTTTAAAAATGCAGATGCAAATTGTGAGCTCTGTTACAGAGCTATGCCTCTGTTCTGGTTAACATCAATACAGTTTGAATTTCAGTACTTTTGAACATTCCATTTTGCCCTATGTTGCATAATCATTCTATTTATTCGGAATATTTCTATGCCAGCTCTTCAGCGTCCTTCTCAAAGTGACTTATAATTAAAAGCTACATTATAAAACACAAGCTGTTAAAAACACAAGCCATTGAACAGCAGCAGCATAAAAAAATCCATAAAACAGAGCAGACTATTAAAGTTTTAATTGAAAGCCTGAGTAACAAAGATGTGTTTTAGCCTGGTGCCTAAATGAGAGTGAAGTAGGCACCAGCCAAGCCTCAAGGGGGAGGGCATTCCAAAGTTCCTGGGTTTGGGGGAAGAATTTCATTCCCTTGAGGCCAAGATAGGTGACTTGGCAAAGGTGAGAACTTCAAGGATGTGTCGGACACAACTTGCTGTCAGGCCGACAGTTCATCTGATGTCGTAGAGAATGAGCCTCTGAGTGCAGGAAGGCATCATTCTGAGGAGGAGAGAGACAGACCTTTAGAAGGGACCCATTTCCAATGATGAACCAATATGCCAAGCATGCCCCTCCAAGGGGTAGAAGGCTTTTTGTAGTAAGTGGTTTGGTTGTAGAATGTAGAGAGATGGGTTTTGATCCTTTGGTGACTGCCTGCCTGCTACAAAGGTTGTGGTCATCATGTGCTATATAGGTAGGCTGGTAGATAGTACAGAGGTTATGGACATGTGAATGAATGGTTATGGTCAGTGTTCCCTCTAAGCTGAGTTAGTGTGAACTAGCTCACAGTTATTTAGCCTCCAGCTCACAGATTTTTGTCTCAGCTCAGGAAAGATGGCTCCAGAGCAAACTAATTTATGAAGCGCCAAATTGCTTGCTCACAACTTTAATGTCAGTAGCTCACAAAGTGGAATTTTTGCTCACAAGATTCCACAGCTTAGAGGGAGCATTGGTTATGGTGCACATTGACACCACCAATGTTGGAAAATGTACTTGTGAGAGTGCACATGAAGGGAATAGGATTGTAGTAAAAATGGAATTGCTCAGGAGGGCGCTTTTATGAAGGGAATAGATTTGTAGTTTGTTGCACTGTTTATTGTATGTTGTCTTGTTTTCCACTTCATTATTGTCCAAGTTTTGTAATTTCATTTTTGTATGGTTTGTAGTATGTCATGCCTTACTGTGTTTTTTATTTTTGCTGTTTTCTAATTCTGTAATCCGGTCTTCTTGTATTGCTCATAGTATGTCCTATACTGTTTTTCATTGTTTTTGTAATTTGTAATCCACCTTGAGTTTCAGGGGGAAAGTAAGATTGTAAATAAAGTCAGTAAGTTGTGAAATAAAATTTTAGATTGCTAC